TAGGAATATTATGATCACCAGTAGAATTATTATTGCAGCAAATGACTTCTTTCCTACAGTATACTGCACTGGTTGTTGAGGAGGTTTGGTATCCTTAACATTAGCTTTTGGTAGCTGATAATCTAATGAATATATCATACATTAGTTTTAATAATAAATTACTTGTATGGTATATACCTGAGTAATCCAGAAGATCTAAGTACATTGCTTCTTCAGTACTAGTATGAGTCTTTACTACTGGTTGATAGGCTGTGTTTTGTGTTAGCTTCATTTCTTCATTGAAATCCTTAGCTTCACTTTGAAAGCTTGTTGACATTGTCTTGTTTTCCATCTCTTCACTAGCACTGCCTATGGTTATCTAAAGCTCTATTTAATTTATTTGAGTTTATATTAGCACTGCAGCATTATCTCTGTTATCTGCAATGTTTTTTTTACAATATACATGACATTTTTAAAACTACAGACCAATGCTGTAATACATTGCTATCGAAAGTGCCTATAAATGTTTGGTGTATTATTAATTTATGTAACACAAAGTTGAAAGTATTCATTAGGCATATGTTTACAGTCACTTTTGTATATGTAAATTGATTGTAAGCTAACAGATAACATGACTTCTAAGGCAACGCCACTTCCTTTTTGACTAACATACAATAACAGCTCTCCTCCATTACATAATATTATGATGACCTATTACATATAAATGTATTTTATAAAGAATGATAATAGAAATGAATCTAGATTAGCACTAATGTATTTGTACTATAGTGTCTACAGCTTTAGTCACTCAATAAAGAAAGCTAGTGTTCAGCATTTCCCGGTCTTTGGTTCCCACGGAGTCCCAACGTTCCAATCATTAGTGAACACATCCTCAAATATGTCAACAACCTTTGAGCTCTTCATTACTACCAACATGTCACGATTGACAGAACTCCTTGACTTAGCATAAGGAGGGAATGTACTTCCTTCAGGGAAATCACTTGGACTCCAATTACCTGAGGAGAGAGAGAGAGAGGGAGAGAGAGAGAAAGAGAGAGAGAGAGAGAGGGAGGGAGGGGGAGAGAGAGAGAGGACTCTATATAAAGAGGCCTTCATACATGAGGCAACATGTTGCTAGCAACATTTGTGTCTTGTAAGCAAAGTGTTACCAACGAGGGGTCCGCAACTCCAAATAATCCCGTACACCCTTGAAAATAATCTATAATAATCTGTTAATCTTTAAAATCTCCAATAATCTCTGGAAATCCCAAAAAATCCTTGATAATCTTTAAAAAAATCTCAAAATAATCTCACCATATCTGCTAGTATCCGGAGTTTATTAAAATTAATTAACCTTAATTAATAATTATTAATAGTTATAATGGTTAACTGACTTTAATTAATAAATATTAAAAGTTATAAAGTAGTTAATTAATAAATAATCTCTAAAAAATCTCTGCTAATCCCAAAAAATTATTGGAAATCTCAAAAAAATCTCTGGTAATCTTCCAAATAATCTCAAATAATCTCTGATAATCTCAAAAATCTGGTTAATCTCTTAATCTCGTACACCTAAAATAGGAGTTGCGGACCCCTCGGTTACCAAGAACAGAAAGATGTTCTATTTCTGGCAACATGTTGCTTCGTTCAGTTGGTTGCTAGCAACAAGCTGCCTTGTGTATGAAGGCCTTAAGGACACTGTATGTGTCCCTTCAAACCACCTTTGTAGAGTTTACAATAACAATCCTAAAATGAGAAAATAAAATTAAAATTATTATTATAAAAATTGCTTACCTGTGCCCTCTCATAGTCAATGTAACTAGCAATGTAGGACGCAACCAAGAGTGTAACGTTGACACCATTTTTGTATAAATCAAGAACCTTATCACAAATACCATCATCTGTTATCTGATAAATGTGGACCTTTAAAGACTCTTTTGCCGAATCCAGACCGTTCATGAAAGTGTCCCGAGCGTTATCCGGTGCTGTGTAACCATTGACCACCGTCACACCTCAACGTCTGTCATATCGGTGACATAGACACCAGGGACAGGGTACGGTCCCATGTCACTAGTGGGTATCACTCTATCGTAAGTAATGTATTTCTTATTGTTGGAACTGTAAATCGTCGATAGTTTATAATCGTAGCCTGTGTCCCAATCACTGTCGAATTATTATTGCAGCAAATGACTTCTTTCCTACAGTATACTGCACTGGTTGTTGAGGAGGTTTGGTATCCTTAACATTAGCTTTTGGTAGATGATAATCTAATGAATATATCATACATTAGTTTTAATAATAAATTACTTGTATGGTATATACCTGAGTAGTCCTGAAGATCTAAGTATACTGCTTCTTCAGTACTAGTATCAGTCTTTACTACTGGTTCATAGGCTGTGTTTTGTGTTAGCTTCATTTCTTCATTGAAATCCTTAGCTTCACTTTGAAAGCTTGTTGACATTGTCTTGTTTTCCATCTCTTCACTAGCACTGCTTATGGTTATCTAAAGCTCTATTTATTTATGTAATTTTGTTTGTGTTTATATTGGCACTATTAATGAATAACAGCACATTTGCTTTCATTATAAATACTTTGTCAAGGTATTGTAGTTTATGATATCTCTGCTTTCAATTTTAAATTGTTTGTTACGATTTATTTACACAATAATAATAATTATTATTTTTCTACTAATGAAAATGTTCTATAAAACTACCTACAAACAAAGACAATGCACTGCTTATAATTATTAATTGTTCCTTTACTTGACATAAATCTCATACAATTGAACTGGAGTGTCTTCATTGTTCCATACCTCATTCCCACACACCCTCAGTTCAATGTAATCAGTAATGGTAGCATTACCATAATCTCTAAAGAACCATGGAAGACCAGTACCATTACAACAAGGAGCTTCAACTGAAGGACAGTTATT